TCAAGATCATCCTTTTTTATAGCTGAGTAATATTCAATAGTATTAAAAATATCACATCTTTTATATCCACTGTGCAGTTTGATGGGCATCTTGGTTGTTTCCAAGATTTAGCTATTAGAAACTGTGCTGCAATGAACATGGGTGCACATATTCCACTGTGACATGACGCTTTCAGTTTTTCTGGAAAGATACACAAGAGGGGAATAGCTGGATTCAGTGAAACTTCCAGTCCTAGTCTTCTGAGAATTCCCCATACTGATTTCCATAGCGGTTTCACCAGTCTACACTCCCGCCAACAGTGGAGAAGTGTTCCTTTTCCCCTACAGCCTTGCCAACATTTGTTATAGTTGTTTTCTTGATGGCAGCTATTCTTTCCGGAGTGAGATGAAATCTCAGTGCTGTTTTAATTTGCATTTCTTGAATGACCAGTGATGTTGAACATTTCTTCATATATTTATTTGCCATTTGTATATCTTCATCTGAGAACTGTGTGTTTATCTCAGATGCCCATTTTTGGAGAGGGTCTTTGAATTTGGGAGGCTTGATGTTTTTCAGTTCTTTATAGTTTTGGATATAAGTCCTTTGGCTGAAGGGTTGCTGGCTAAAATTCTTATCCATTTTGTTGATTGTCATTTCACTCTGTTGGTGATTTCTTTTGAAGTGCAGAAACTTTTCAATAATACGAGATCCCAGTTGCTGATTCTTTGAAGTGTTTCCCATGCAGTTTGTGTTTTCCTGAGGAATTCTCTGCCTACCTTTATGTCTCCAAGATTTCTACCTACCGTGTCTTTCAGTCGATTTAGTGTTTCTGTTTTAATATTTAGTTCTTTGATCCATTTAGACTTTAGTTCTGTGCATGGTGACAGGCATGGATCTAGTTTCAGTCTTCAGTATGTGGAGAGCCAATTTTTCTAACGCCATTTATTAAAGAAGTTATCATTCTTCCCGTGAACATATTTAGTCAAATATCAGGTGGCTAAGTGTCTTTGTGCTTGTATTTTCTATTCTGTTCCATTGATTCTCAGGTCTATATCTTTGCCAGTACAATGCTGATTTTATCACTGTGGCTTTGTAGTATACTTTCAAGTCAGGAATTGAGATGCCTCCTGCCTTGCCTTTGTTGCCCAGAATTGCCTGCCTCTTCAATCTCCTTTTTCAGCATAGCATAATTTTCAGCATATAGGTGTTTTACATTCTTAGTTATGTTGATTCCTAAATATTTCATTTTTTAGGATGCTAAAAAGGGCAATACTTCCATAATTTCTCTCTCGGTGGAGTTTTGTTTGTGTACAGGAATGCTATTGATTTTTAAACATTGTCTTTCTATCCAGGTACACTGCTGAATTTATTACCTTTAGTAGTCTTTTAATGGGGTTTTTTTGGTCTTCTATATAGAGTGTTATGTCATCTGCAAAGTGATAATTTAACTTCTTCCTTTTCTATCTTTATTACTTTTATTTCTCTTGCTTGTCTTACTGCCCTGGCTAGACTTTCCAGAAATACTTTGAATAGGCATGATGATAGTGGACATCTTTGTCTTGCTCCTGATTTTAAAGAAAAGCTTTCAGTTTTTGTCCATTTAGTATAATGTTGGCTTTTGGTTTGTCATAGATGACCTTTATAAGATTGAGGTAGACACCGTGTGTTCCGAGTTTCTGATGCATTTTTATTATGAATATGTGTTGGACTTTATCAAAAGCTTTTTCTGCATGTATTGAGATAATCATGTGGTTTTTGTTTTTGGCTCTGTTGATGTGGTGTATTACATTTATTGATTTGCATATGTTAAACCATCCCTGCATTCCTGGAATGAAATAACTTGTTCATGATGTATAATCTTCTTGATGATTTGCTGTATTGTATTTGTCAGTATTTAACTGAGAATCTTTGCATCAATGTTCTTTAGTGAGATTGGTCTATAGTTCTCCTTTTAAACGGTTAGGTCTTTCTCTGGTTTTGGTATCAGAGTAATACTTCCCTCCAGGAATGATTTATGGAGGATTGTTTCTTTTTGAATTTCACTGAAGAGTTTAAGAAGTATTGGCATTAAATCTTGTCTAAATTTCTTATAGAATTCAGCCATGAATCCATCAGGAGATGGGCTTTTCTTTGTTGGTAAGATTTAATCACATTTTCAATTTCAATAGCTGATATTGGGTTATTTAAAATTGCTAAATCTTCTTGGTTGAGCTTTGGTAGTTAAGTTTCTATAAATCTGCCCATTTCCTCTGTGTTTTCCGCTCCAGGTGAGTAGAGATTTTCAGAGTAGTTATTCACAATCTTTTGAATTTCCATGGGATCTGTGGTAATTTCCCTCTTTTCAGTCCTTATTGCATGGATTTATTTTTTTTTCTTTTTCTTGATAAGGTTAGCTAGAGGTTTGCCAATTTTTTTATTCTCTCAAAAAAAAACAACAGCTTTTTGATTCATTAATTCTTTGTATTGTTTTTTTAGTTTCAATTGCATTGATTTCTGCTCTAATCTTTACAATTTCCTCTCTTCTATGAGCTTTGGGTTTAAGTTGCTCTTCTTTTTCTAGAAGCTTCAGATGAAGCAGTAGGTTGTTTATTTGTGCTCATTTTTTTTCTTGATATGACAATTATTGCTATATATTTCTGCATGAGACTACTTTATTGCATCCCACAGATTACAGTATGTTGTTTTTGCATTTTCATTGAATTGTAGGTATTGCTTTATTTCTTCTTTACTTTCATTTGTAGCCCATTGGTTGTTCAGAAGGTTGTTATTTGGTTTCCATGTATTTATGCAATTTTGCAATTTCTTTTGCCATTAATTTCCAATTTCAATGTGCTATGGTGAGATATTATGCATAGGGTAATTTCAGTACCTTTTCAGTTACTTAAGAATGTTTTATGGGATAATATATGGCCTATTCTGGAAAATGTCCCATGTGCAGCTGAGAAAAATGTGTATTCTGATGTGGTTGGGTGGAACACTCTGTAAACATCTACTAAGTCGTATTGCTTGCAAGTATGATATAGTTCTATTCTTTGCTGACTTTTTGTCTAGTTGTTCTATCTCTTTGTGACAGTGGACTGTTAAGGTTCCCTGTTATAATTTGTGACCTTGTGTATTTGGTTTTTCATGTCCATTAGTATCGGTATTATATAGTTGGGTGCTCCTGTATTTGGTGCATATATATTTATAATTGTTAATTCTTCCTCTTGAATTTTTCCACTAATGGGTATGTAGTGACTTTCTTTATCTGTTTTAATCATTTTAGGTTTTAAGTTCACATTTTCTCCAAGTAGAATAATTACTCTTGCTTTTGTCTGGGGTTCTGTTGCATGGAATACTCTTTTCCATCCTTTGACTTTTAATCTATGAGTTTCCTTTTGGGTCATATGTGTTTCTTGTATAAAGCATATTTTAGGATCATGTTTCTTGATCCATTCTGTCAACCTATTGCTTTCAATAGGTGAACTGAGGCCATTTACATTTATGGTTATAACTGATACATTCTGGCTTGACTTTGCCATGTTATGTTCCAGTTATTTTCTTTCTGTTTTCCCCCCTTGTTTAATTGCTTGTCCTACCTGGTGGTTTCTTTCTGTTGTTGTTCTAGAGATTGTGGTCATTTTTATCTCTATCTAGTATATCTTTCAATACTTTTCTAGGGTTGGTTTGGTGCAAGTTTTTCTGGGTACATCAGGCTGGGTTGAAATTTTTTTTCTTTCAGGGCTTCAAGTACCTCACTCCAAGATCATCTTGACTTGAGGGTTTGTGCTGAAAAGTCTGCTGTGATTCTGATGGGCTTTCCTTGATAGGTGAGTTATGTCTTTTCTCTAACAGCTTTTAGTATTGTTTTTATGCTTCATGTGTGGGATCTTAATTATTACATGTCTGGGTGTAGATTGATGTTGGTTGTGGCTGTTTGGCATTCTATATGCCTCACTTATCTGTATATCAGATTTTTACTCATGTTTGGGAAATTTTCTTCTATTACTTTTATGAATATTTTTGTTACGTAATTTGCATTGACTCTTGCATCTTCATTGATGCCTATTAATATTATATTATTTCTCTTGGCATCATCTTGAAGTTGTTGGATTGTCGTTTCATGCTGCTTTGTTATTTTTAAAAGTTCTATCCTTTCATGATTGCTAATTGTGATCCTGTCCTCAAGGTCTGAAATCCTATCCTCAGCTTCATTTAAACAGTTTTTCATGCTTTGAATAGAATTTTTTGCTTCTTAGATGTCTGTTTGAATTTGTTTCATGAATTCTGCTTGTTTTCTATATTGTTCATTTAAGGTTTCAATCAGTTTCCCATGTCCTTGTACTTTTATCTCTATTTCTTCATTAGCTGTGCTCAGCAACTCCTTTACTAAGGTTGTTATTTCTATCTTTACATGGGAGAGTACTTTTAATTTGGTTTCCTCTATACCCTCATGGAGTTGTTTTTTTTTTTTAATTTCACTTTCTATCTTTTCAGAGATTTCCAGTGTGTTACTTTTGAAGTCCTCTATTTCAGTGTCTCCTGTACTTTCTCCTGGTGCACTAAATGTTTGAGATTGCATTTTGCTTTGCTATTTTCCTCTTTTGAGTTAATATTTGGTCCTTCAATCCCAGTAGTGTCAACTGTTGGTAGTATGTATCTTGGGGTCCTAGTGTAAGGCTGATGTTTGTCCATTGCTGCATTCCACAATGAAGAGGTGGGTCAGTCACCTGGCTTCTGCCTGCCAGGCCTGTTGAGTTAGTCTTATATTCTTCCTAGGCTGATAAGCCTAGTAGTGTTGATGTAGGTCAACTTTTAGTTCCTGCTGTTACATTATCTTTAGGTTATTCCAGGTCAGCAAATCTTCCTGTCTATAGTGTTTGTGTCGGCTGACCCTCTACTGCATACCTATTGTGTGCCTGTGTGTCTCATAAGCCCTTTTGATTTTCTCCAAGTTGGCACAGTCCTTATTGGCACGCTCCTCACCTGCCTGATGTTCTCTGTGTGCAGGAAGAAGTCACTCACACTCTTGTCAGACTCACCGAGGTCTTGCAGTTATTTGGAGGGAGCTTTACTACTGGCCCTGTTTGCCCACTGTTCACCTCTGTTTCAGGAGTATACTCATCACACTGACTGGAGCCTGCTGAGATTTTCTGTTTGGGTAAGGCAGTTACTAGGTCTCCCTTCAAGCTATCACAGTTAATCCACTGTATTCCAAGGTTCTGGGAGAAAGGGTGGGAACTGAGGATCAATAGCAGTATTAGGTCCAGGAGGTAGCCAGTGTCCCTGAGGGTTCAGCATGTGTCCTGGGTGTCAACATCTGCTGGGTGCATGGGAAGCGTGGCACAGCAGCATAGGTGGCCCTGGGCCAGGGAGCAGGCTGGTGGCGTCAGTCCTGGCATCCACGGGGCACACAGGAAGCATAATGCAGTGGTGTGTATAGTCCTGGGCTGAGGGGCAGGCTGGTGGCATCAGTCCAGATGTCTGTGGGGCGCTCTCTTGTTTTGAAACCCTATATCACTTTCATGGTTTTATGCTGAGTGGGTTCACTCTGTTTCATCCTGTTTGGTCCTATTCTACTTAGTGAAGTTGTAACTGCAACTGGTTGTTGAAGTTGTAGGACAAATGCCAGGAGAAGCACAGGAGCATAGTGATTGGGGCCTGCTGAGGTCCTCTGTTTGGGTGAGTGGTCACTGAATCTCCCTTCAACTCAGCATGGTTAATCCACTGCAGTTTAAGGTTCTGGGAGGAGGTGGGGAGGGTCACTGAGGGCAGCAGTCATTGGCATGGCATTCCACCAGGCCGCGACTCTATCCTTTTTATTTCTTTTTCTTGTCTATTTGCTCTAGCTAAGGTGATAGTGGACATCCCTATCTTGTTCCTGATTTTAGAGAGAAATTTTCCAGTTACCCTCCATTTAGTATGATGCTGTTAGCTTGACATAGATGGCTTTAATCAAATTGAAATAAAGATCTTCTATTCCTATTTTCTTCAGAGTTTATATCATGAATGGATATTGGATTTGTCAAATCCTTCTCTTGCATCAATTTGAGATGACCATGTGGTTTTGTCCTTGCGTCTGTTTCTGTAATCTACTGTGTTTATCAATTTGTGTATATTGAGTCATCACTTCAATCTTGAAATGAATCCTACATGGTTATGTAATATAATCTTACTGATGATTTGATCCGTTTGTGTTCCAGTTTGTTATTGAGAATTTCTGCATCTATATTCATTAAAGATGTTTGCCTGTAGTTGTAATTTTTGGTTGGCTCTTTTCTGATTTTGGTATCAGGGTAATGCTTGCTTCCAGAAATGACTTGGGAGTATTGTTTCCTTTTTCATTTCATTAAATATTTTGAAGGTCAGTGACATTAAATCTCCTCTAAATTTTTTATAAAATTTGGCAGTGAATTTATCAAGGACTAGGATTTTCTTATTTGATATTTTCTTGCTAGTTCTGTAATTTCATTGACTGAATTATTCAAAATTATTGTATCTCCTTGGTTCACCTTTGGCTGTTTGTATTTATCTAGGGCTCTATTCATTTCTTTTGAGTTTCTCATTATTTTAAAGCCCATTACTGTGGACCTGCCCAAGAACTCCAACTGTCGGTTTGAGTAGTATGATGAAAGATGAAGAAAAAACAGAGACATTTAATAGCTCATAAAAAGGGCAATAGGAGATCAATTCTTCAGCATAGGCAAAGAACAAGACTCTTAAACTTGCCACTATTTTATTAGCCAGTACAGGGGTTGGGATAGGGTGCTTTTCTTAAAACAATGTAGAGGTAGTAGAGAATAGGCAATTTTAACATCATAAAAGAAACAAGTTAAGATTCATCCCTGCAGCTGGGTACTAGCTCTCCCTGTATTGTCCTCAGCACGTTTCATGTTGCCCTGCCAGCACCACAGCCTCACTGACCATCAAGATCTCAGCAGTGACCTTTAAAAGTTGGGTTTCCACATTCCAAAACTGATCCACAAGGTAGGGAAAAGAAAGCCTCAGACAGATTTTAGGTCAATTTATAGTTTGTTGTCCTCAACATATATGTTCTCAAAGTTGTTACTGATGGTTTTCTGGATATCTGCAAAATCTGTTACAGTTTTGCCCTTTTCATTTCTAATTTCATTGATCTGGGGCTTTGCTTTTTTTCATTTTGATGCATCTGACTAAGGTCTGTCTACTTGGTCTAATCTTTCAAAGAATCAACTCTTTATTGATTCTCTGTATTTTGTTTTTTAAGTCTCAATTTCTTTAATTTTTCCTCCGATATTTAGAATTTTCTTCTTATTGACTTTGGTTTTTTTATTGTTCTTGTTTTCTAGAATCTTGTGGTGCATCATTGGTTTATTTTAGCTCTCTCTGCTTTTCGAATGTGGAAATTCATCTCTATAAACTTCCATCTTAGGATAGATTTCATTGTGCCCCATACATTCTAGTATGTCACAATGACAGCCTCTGATTTTAGAAACTGATTTCTTCTTCACTTTCATCTATGACTCATTGATTATTCAAGAGAGTATTTAGTTTCCAATTTGTCATGGATTATGTTGGTAGCCCCCAGGTTTCAAGCATTTGCATTATGCATTGTCTATAGCTTGGATTGATCTTGTCAGTGCTACACCCACGTAGGGGTGGAGCCAGCATACAATGTAATGGCAGGAAGAAGGTATGTCTCTGTCTCTTGCCAGTTTCTGCCTTGTTGTTTTTAGCCTGCCATGCCACCCTGCCTTGGAGCCAACTGAGTATGGACTGAAACCGCCAAAAACTGTAAGAAATAAACCTTTCCTTTCCCAACTTTGGGCATCAGGTATTTTGTCTCAGTGACAAGTAAAAAGTAACTAAGACACACTTGTTTGCTTAGTTTTTCTGGCGTCTTTTGCCATTGATTTGTAGTTTCATTGTACTATGACCTGATAATATATATGGCATAATTGTGCTTCTTTTGGATTTATTTAAGCATTCTTTATTGGCTAGTGTGTTGGTTTTTTTTTTTTTTTTCTGTTCTTATCTATTTTGAAGAAAGTCCTTTGTGCTGCTGAGAAGAATACGTATTCTGTTGTTGAATGAAACACTGTGTACCTATGTATTAAGTCTTTTCATTCAAAGGTTAAACTCTGATTTTTTTTTGTATATTTAATTTGTCCACTTGTGGGAGTGGTGCATTGGGTTCCCATATTAGTTTAGTACTTAGCTGATTTTTCACATCCATTGGTTTTTGCTTTATGAAGATAGATGTTCTGGTTTTTAGTGCACATATACTTATAATTGTTATCTGTTCTTGTTAAATTGTACCCTTAACCAACACATAGTGACCTTCTTTATCTCTACTGATCTGTCTTAGCTTGAAATCCATTTTGTCTGCAATTAGGGTAGCTACCACTGATTTTTTTCTGGATTCCTGTTATATAGAATATTGTTTTCTATCCTTTAAATTTCAGTCTATGAAATTTTTACAGGGTTAAATGTAGTTCTTGTATACAGAATGCTATTAGATCTTATTTCTTGTTCTATTCTGCTAATCTGTGTCTTTTCATTGTTGAAATGAGATCATTCCCATTGATAGTTATAACTGATAGATATGGACTTAACCCTGTCATTATATTATTTTCTTGCTGTTGATCCCCCTTCTTATTCTTCTACTTCTGCTTGGTAGATTCATTCTGTTATGTTTGTTGACATTGTTAGATTCGTTGTGTCTTTCTAGGAAGTCTCTGGGAATTTTTTGGAGTGCTGGTTTTGTGGTTATGAATTTTATTAGGTGCTCCTTATCATGGAAGTATTTTGTTTCTCCATTAAATTTCACAGATCATTTTGTGCAACACATCAATCTGGATTAAAAGTTGTTTTCTTTTAGACTTTGAAACACTTCATTCCCAGGACTCCTTGATTTATTTGTGTTCAGAAACATGATGTAATTCTGATGGTTCTTCCTTTACATGTAATCCACTTTCTGTAGGACTTTTAGGTTTCTCTTCTTGTGTTGTATTTCTGGAGATGAATATGATGTTTCTTGGCATGTTTCTTTTCTGATCTTGGCTATTTTGGGTTCTGTATGCCTCACCTGTATGTCATTTTTTTCCATGTTTGAAAATTTTCCTATTACTTTTGTAAACAATTTTTTTAATGTCCTCTATGCTACCTTCTGGTTTTTTGTCAATTCCTATTAATCTTAGATTAGTCTACTTTACATCATCTAGCAGCTGGTGAATCCTTTTTTTTCACATTCCTTTGTTATCTTAAGTTGTTGCTAGTTAGGTGATCATCAATTACAGCCATGTCTTCTGACATTCTTTTCTCACATTGAATGATTCCACTGCCTTTATTCTCAATATAATGTTTAATTTCCAGGATTTCTGCTTGAAGCTTTTTTTCTACATACTTCAATTCTTTTTTATGCTGGGCATTGATGGTTTGCATCTCTTTCTTCAGCTCCTCTGGTTTTCTATTCGTGTCTTCTATAGACTTGCTGATTACGTATTTTATTAGGATCGTTAGAATTATGTCTCTATCTCTGTTTTGACTTTTTCAAATGTCTTATCAATTTGTTTTGTTACCTCCACTGCTACCATTTCAGATATTTTGACTGTGTGGCTTTTGATTTCTCACCCCACCCAAGTGTCCCGTAAATGTGTTTATGGTATTCGGGAGTTTTGAGGCATATTATTTCCTTACTTTTTTATTTTCTATTTGTTCATTTGTTTCCTGTGCTGAGGCTTGGAGGCTGCTTATGGTTGGTAGCTTTATTGCTGAGATCAAGACCTCTTTAGGTAATGTTTACTTTCCAGAAATATACTCTAGGTGTAGCTGGTTTTTGGCTGTTGGGTCTTTGCCAAGATCCAATTACCTCCTTTTTATTAGGGAGCAGAGGTTTTAGCTTATTTGTCACAGTATCTAGTTCTTTGGGAATAGTTTATGATCCTTGGGCAATCCAGACAGAGAAAACCAATTAATACCAATGACTATGTCACTCCAGCTGAAAAATAAAATCAGCAAAAACAATAGCATTAAATGCAAATTGGATAATGACAACATTTAAAAACCCTAATGTGCCACTCTTAACCATAGAAATGAGATCTATAGTTATAATTCAAACTCCAAGACAAATTTGGTATTGATATACAGTAAATATCTACTCACTAGAGCACTTTTGCCTCCATTAACATTAGAACAGTGTTCAACCATAGGAAGATATAGTTAACTACCTACAGATTTATAA